GCTGTTATTATCTGTTATGAAGTAAGCATGACTTTCTCGTTTAAGCTGACTGATTGTAGGCTCGTATTTCAGATTGTCATTCATGCTGGTCTGCTCAAAAAGGGTTTATGTTCAGTTCAGGATGAAAGTGCAGGTCAACTGTCAACTTTTCTCATAGAAGGGATTCATATAAGGCAGTAATATCTAAAGTTTATTTTCTCCTCTTTTACATTTTACTTGAAACACTGTGACTGGCCTCTTCTTTGCTAGATGACCCACCAGGGATAATACTACATCGTTTTATGCATTCATGTTCCTGTATGGGTTTTCTTTGTAAGATTTTGTTGTGATTGATGGAATTTGTGACCAAAGGCCTTGCATTTAGCATACACACGATTTTACCTAATATGCTAATCAATGTATAGATTTCAACCGGTCTTTATTTTCCATTTTGAATTTAAAGAAATTTTTACTTTACATGGTTATATATTATCGTACAGTGTGTCACATCCTTGATTGCAGGTCTAGTAGTTTCTGTTGTGGATCCTCAACCTGGTGAAACTATCGTGGATGGCTGTGCTGCTCCTGGTGGGAAGACCCTATACATGGCCTCTCATTTAAGTGGCCAAGGTACTAATTTGTCTAAGATATTTTCTTAAATCATATTGAATTTCAATTTCTTCAGGTACTCTGATAGATATTTTCTTGACTTTGTTTTTCTTTCGAGGAGATTTGTTTCAGATACTTATAGTTTTCGTGAGTTAGGTCTCTTACCCTGGGAGTTGGAATTATAATAAGCTTTGTAAAACATGAACATCGTTTCAGATCCCCTCTCCCCACGGACCCCCTCATAACATGTAGCAGGAATCGTGTTCTCTGTTGGAGATAATAATCTCCTTCGATCTTCACTCATTCTGGCTATGAGACTGTATTTTTGTCAACAATATTCTAACTTAAAAATTTGTTGATATACTAGTTTCTTGCTTTTTTCGTTTTCCATTCAGCAGAATAAAAGGAAAGCTTGTGTTTTCAGGTAAGGTATTTGCAGTTGATGTAAATAGTGGTAGGTTGAGAATTCTTAAAGAGACAGCAAAGTTGCACCAAGTGGATGGTGTCATTACCGCCATTCATGCTGATCTTCGTACATTGACTGTATGTTATTTTCTTCCTGTAAGTGTTAACTCTGAAATTGTTATGTAATTATTTCTTATTAGTTTTCTTTTGGATTTTATCCAGGATAATGAACAACTTAAGAGTGACAAAGTTTTGTTGGATGCTCCATGTTCTGGACTTGGTGTTCTATCCAAGGTGATTGTGTTATAATATGTTTCCTCATTGTCATTGTTTTCACAAATTAATTAGTATATTCTGCTTATCTTGTTTATTAATCTGTTTTATTCATTGGCTTTTGAAGAGAGCGGACTTGCGCTGGAACAGGGCGCTTAAGGATATGGAAGAACTGAAGAAATTACAAGATGAGCTACTGGATGCAGCATCCAAGTAAGCTGGGGATTCTCTTTGATGTTTCCTCTCTGTTTGTGTACATTATATTTTATCCAGTGAATTCATTGAATGAAGTGACGAAAAGCTTCATATGCTGGTTGCTTATTGCATAATCAATCAAGGCTTGTTGTTGTATGCTGATATGAAAAATTGAGTATACTAATTTCGAAATAATTTCTGTAGTAGATGAAACTAATGACACATTGTTTCCCTAATGCATTTTTTTTTGCACATTTAGATTGGTAAAACCTGGGGGAGTATTAGTTTACAGTACATGCTCCATAGATCCTGAAGAGAACGATGACAGGGTGGCTGCATTTCTTGTAAGACATCCGGTAAGAATGATCACTATTCACTAATCTTATTCAAATATTTTAATCTTTTGTTTAAAATACTCTTTCCTTTTCTGAATCGCACTACTTCAAATTAGCTTTAGTTGAATTGTTATATGGAAGATGTTTTAAATGGCAAATCCTCCTTTTTAAGCTTGGTGACGGGCTTCTTAAGAGAAATTGGATGCTGTTTACGTCTCAGGAATGTTGTTGAATAGCATTTGGAGTTACTGGAAGTTTATAGAAATTAAATGTTCTGCATGTCTTTGATTAGGTCCTTGTAAACATTTTAGGACATGATTGTCTGATTCCATTTTGAGTTTTTGACACAGCAGAATGGATTAAACAGGGACAACATGCATATCATTCTCTTTGGAAGTGCTCTGGTTTCCCCTCTAATATTTCAAGTGCTAATTTACTATTATTTGAATTCCAGGATTTCCGCATTGATCCTGTAGACAGATATGTTCCTCCTGACTTTGTGACAAGCAGTGGTTTCTTTTTCTCCAACCCAGTTAAACATTCACTAGATGGTTCCTTTGCTGCTCGTTTGGTACGAGATTCATAGAATGAGTTTCTGAAAAGGAATCCTTTGTGGATTTATTGCCAAATAGATGTCATTGATGAAAAATGAAGAGGCTGCTTATGAGTTGTGGCTGTTCTGGTATATCTCTTCATGTCTTCATACTTTGAAATCAAACATTTAACCTGCAGTGGGATGCTGCACTTCCAGAACAGGCATTCTAATTTCTCAAAGAAAAGATTTATATGAGATGAGATTGTCAATAAGTTTTATTTCACAAGGAGCTCTGGAAGGATGATGAATTGGTGATCCTTAAAAGAAGTACAAATACTATTTGTGAATGGAAAGTCCAAGCTTCAAAGATTTCTCCAGCATAATTACGCATTCTGCTGCAGTTTCAAGAGATTACTTTGAGTGCAATGTTCAGTAGCTGTTAACTTGGAATGTTGTCTTTTAGGAGTGTTTGTAGTTTGATTTAGTTCAGTTTTGTATTAAAAAGTCATTTGAATCAAACATCAAATATAATCAAACCAAATCAATTTTTAAAACTACAGTTTAATTTAGTTTTAGAGGTTGATATTATTTTAAAACTGCTATACATAAGTATATCATAAAGAGACATTTTCTTTTCATTTATTGACCTATTTATAATTCACTTTTTTAATATTCTTAGCTAACTTACATTGCAATTGTCTGCTGTAATGCTCTGATAATTAACTATTAAACTATAAATTTTATATATAAGATTGATCCTTGATTTTTAATCTGAATCAAACCGAATATTCAAGGGAAAAGTGATAGATCAAAACATTTAGTACAAATTGGTTTTGATCAATTTTTATGATTTCCTGTTGCTGTATTGGTTTAGTTTTTAATACCCTTAACTATTTTTACTGTGACGCTGCCATATGAGGTGCAGAGCTATTAATGTTACTGGTGGCAAATTATATATAGGCACTTATAGCTGCAGCTGTAACTTTTGTCCATACAAAAAGGTGCATGGCAAAGACTAGTTAAGAAATGCTAGAAATGAATGCCAATGGTTTTCTAGTGTCACAATATTCTGTTCAAGTTTAAAAAAAACTTTACTTAGGCATAACGTGCATTTCTCACCCTAGGAGTATCCTTTGGCAGAATCTTTACTCTCATTTTTTTCTTGTTCTTTTTTAGCATATAACAGTATACAGTAATGCAGTTTTCAAGTTTTTTTCGTTTCTGAAAGTGCTATATATTCCAAGCACTAACTCAATGGTGACTGTGAACACACTTGTAATACAACTCAATTCAATACTAATTTAGACATTTATGATGTAATCCTTAGACTAACTTCTAAATATACTAAAAAAAAGTAATTTTCAGAAAAAAAAAATTGTAGGGTGAATAGTATGTTAACACCTGTTTGGAGAGATGGTGTTAGTGCTTGTGATGAGCTGTTCCATGGGAAATGATGATAAGGAGAAAGCAACAGAGTTAACCATGACTGCGTGAGTACATTTGGCGTATCTGAATTATGCATTGCCATGCATAGGGCTATGACTGATAAGCATCAGCAATTGTTGTGCATGTCCACAACGTGTCATGAAAACTATTATCCTCTCTGTTATGTTCAGAAGTCACAAGTGAGAAAAACCAAACCCTATAGAGCATAGATCATAGAGACACACAACATGGTCCCTGACATTACTTTGAAACACCAAAACAGGAAGCCAGGTCCACAAGATGGAGTTTTGGTTGCTCTCTCTCTCTCTCAAGGATATGTATCAGTGTATTCTTTTCCTAATACTGCTACCAGAGAATAAATGATTTCATATCTGCAATTTTCTTATATTAGTACAGATAAACCACTAATCATTTTGATGATATGATTTTTTTTGCACTAACCATGCACAGACATTGAATACTTTTTTATTGATTAACAATGTAAAAATGTGTACAATGTTACTAATAAAAGTTAAACTCATTTCATATACAAGCAAAATGCTACCTAGGATCTTATTCAGCAATGTAGTTCATTGGCTCCGTGCACTCAACTAACCACACACAGGAGACAGTTTCAGTGGAATAGTACAAAACTTTCTTTGTCATCTTTTCACAAACTTCCACTGTCTCAAATTTGATGCGTTGAATGAATTTATCTTAAAGTCTTGCATGCAATTGTTTATAAATATAAAGTGATAAGGAATAAAATAAAGTGTCATCTCACTACATTTATATAAAAAATTATTACAGTTCTTATTTTGTATTAAGCAACTTTAACCAACACATGAAAGAAACAGAGGAAATGTTAATTAAGAGACTTTTATTTACTCTCTTTTTGACAATTCCTTAGGATTAATTGTCATTATTTTCAAAAATAAGTATTTAATAAAAAAATTCCTTAACAAAACTAATTAATAATACATAAAAAAGGATAAACTTCATGCACATAAATTTCATTTTCAAACTGAACCAAATCAGTTAGCCATCATTGCATTTAATTACTTAGGTGATATTCCTAAGAATACATCTCTACATTTATTACACCTATTGAAGGTTAGCTAAACCATATATATATACATATACATAAATATACATATATACACACACAGTACAATCTGCTAAATTGAATGAGCTTGATGTTATATAAGAACCGCTATATGGTTATTGGGGTGACATATTCACCTTTGATAGAGTTTTTGTTTGATACGTTTTTCTCTCCTCATTCTCGAGCCTTCATCATGTTCATGAGAAAAAGTGTCTTCATCTTCCTTCTTCACAACTCCATCTTCAGAATGCTTTTGCATTCTCAACTCTTTTTGTTTCTCTGTTGGACCTTTATATTCTTACTATCCCTCCATTAGTTCTTTCCTACCTATATATGAAGGTTAGTCATCAGCATAGTTCTCTGCATCCTATGTAGAAAAGGAGAAAAGCTTAAGTTGGTGAGGCTGATTTGGGATGAAAGAGATTCATTATGCAGGTGAATTCATGCTTAATTAACTGTTCACTCCTATATATTCTTCATGAGATACAGCATATCCATATCAGTGTGCATATACCATATCATTTCTAAAGAATTTTTATCATATATACACCTAAAATCATTCAATATACTTACAAAACCAGCATCATGTTTAATTTTTCACCTTATGAGGAGCCTACATGTTTCTTTTCTTGATCCTTCTGCAAAAAAGATCCAAATTTAGTAGTTTGGAGGAACTAAACAGACAGCAGGATAAAAACTAAGACATGAATTTACTTCTCTACAGATCAAGCAAATTTCGTTAAAACACACTGCAATTGGTTATGATTCATTCTAAAAGCATGGAAAGACTTTATCTATCTATCTATCTATATATTTGTATATCTCTATCATTTTATGTAGCTGAAGCTAACTGCAGGTTTAATTAGAAATAACATATCTTTTTCTTTTATTTGAGAAATCATATCCAACATTAGACAAACCTTTTAACAAAAAAAGTGTACTATATTTCCCCGTTATTTATGGCTTGGACCATTTTCTCAGTTTAGTATTCTTTTCAAATTTTACATGATTATGTGTTAGAGGAAGTACTCTCGCACTGAATTAAGTAAAATATGCAGAGATATAAAAAAGAAAACTGAAACCAGCTCAGTCATTATATTTATAAACTTGATATATGCCTGATATATTGTTAGAAGTTTTACGTTGAATAGAAATAAAACCAATACAAAAAATACAAGTGAGTGTAAACCTTATATTATAAATCGATTTTATGGGTTGAATCAAACTTAAAGTACATTTTTTACATACATAGATAAACATATATTTGTTGAGAATGATAGAAGATCTGTTCTTAGATTGTTGTGTATTAAAAATCAGCTTCTTAAGCGGATCTGAACAGTTTAGCATTAAATATAGTTCCTGAGTCCAGGTCAGAGGATATATATAGTGTAGAAAGTCTTTAATTAATGTAATGTAATAATGGTATGCATGTAGATGGTGTGAAATAGAGGAGATGGTGGGTAAATAAATGAATGAGAAAGCAATATAGTAAGTGCATGAGCAAAAATAGAGTAGGAAAAAAGTGGAAGAAAGATGGTTAATTTGGTAGAGGAAAGGTGCACATGGAAATGCCGTATTAATAAATGTATATGTATGGTCTGATCGGAATGCATGATGGTTGACATGTAATGTTGGACAGGTGATGATATTGAATGGAAGTGCATGTGTTGAAGGGTTCATTGGTGGTTGGAGGGATTGTGATGAGATATATCATCTCATGTTGACAGAAGAGAGAGAGCACAACCCGAGAATGGTTAAAGGAGTGTTTGCCTTTGTTGGGAGTGTGCTCTCTCTTCCTCTGTCATCATCACATTCACATGCCTTTGCTTTCTAGCTAGCTAAACTGCAACAGTACATGCACCACTCTCTGTTATACCTTTCAAGGTATGTCAAGCTTTTCTTACCTCAGGTTGGATTGCTTATAAACATGTCCCTTTCAAACTGCTCACATATGCTATATGTCTAGCTCATATACCACTGCATAAATTCAAATGCTCCTTCAAATCACTCTCATCTAAACATATCACCCTTTTTTCAAAACACTTTTGGAAATCAAAGTGGATACAACTAAGAAGATTATCATTATTGTTAGTCAAGATCTTCTACTGGTTTTTTCTTCGGATATTATAAATCCTTTTTAGGCTTAATTACCTTTTTTTTCTCCATTTTTATTGAAAAGTTGTAAATATATATAACTTTTATTTTTATTTTAATCAAGTTATAACTAAAATTTCATTTTACTAAATAATAATATCAGTTAAATTTTATTTTAATTTAAAAAATTATGGATGAACTGTATAAAAAGAACAAATAAAAATTTGTTACAAATAAATTTAAGATTTTGTTTTATTATACTTTCTCTTCTTTTGAATATTAAGCAATTATAAGATTCACCAAGAAATGGTTAAATTGAGAATTTAATTCCTTGCAATGAAAAATGACAATTTACATAAATTGTATATTTTAAGTGTTTGAATTAAATGTAGTTCTTTAAAGAAGTATTACAGGACACAACACAGATGGGTTGTAGCATTAATTTTCTTGAATCAGAGGCCTTTCAAAATTTTAAAAATTTAATTAATTATGTAAATAAAATGTTTAAAATGAAAAATTAAATCAAAATAATGCAAATTTAAAATATTTTAAAATTTGAAATCTCTCCTTTGAAATGCACACGCAGAAATTTAGCTTCATTTTCAATTACACTTCTAAAACATCGTCACCTTCTATTCTCCCACATCCATGAAATTCTCCAAATGCTTCATTGAAACCTAGTTCTTCTTCTGCTAAAATGCCCCAAATCCTCCATTGTAATTCCTTTAGAAACCTTGCATGCATTCACTTTGCAACCTCAGAGCCCAGTTTGGACAAATCTGAAGCATAAACATCGGTGTGCTCTGAAACCCCGGTGTGCCAATTTTGGTGGGACGTGTACGAGTGGAAAGGGAGAACAATGGATACCCTTTTCGTCTTCCTTCTTCCATGAAGAACACACTTTGTTGCTATTAATGGTATGAGAAACTAAATTTAATAACTCCCTTTTTACTCCCTGTCTTATGTACAAGTGTTTAATAATTTACTGTAAGTAATCTGAATGCTGTTTTAATTTTTTAAGAGTAGATAATCCTGATAATGGTGGGTTAATACTAAAGGGAATTTCTCTGAAATAGAGTCTGATACCATCTTATTAACTTGTTTAAATTTTACTCAATCTTATCTTGTAAGATAGATTTACACTCACTTCTATATTATTATAATTTGACTAGGATAATTTTGTTTAAGCAGCATGATTTTAGTGTTCATCAAACCATTCCATTGTTGATAAGAATGCAAATATTTGTTACAGTGATAACACTCCACTGATGGCTGCACTGGGATTAGGTAGAAAAGGGATAGATCAGAAAATGACCTCTTTTCTTTGTTTTGGTTGTGTTTTTTTGACATTTCTAGTTCTGTATATAGCACCCTTTTGATGAGCACGCTTATCCACCACCATAATTGGAAGGGCAACCAGTTACATACTCTGCATCCACCCTAAAACCAGTGTAAACTGATATACATAGGAAAGGTTGTTGCTTACGTGATATTAAAGATTTTACCATTATCACTCTATAAAGGTGAGTTTTGGTCCATTTGGGATGGATTTCATCCTCAAACGGATCTACTCATAAAGGTAACAATAAAATTCAGTAATGGAATCAATTAACATCATTTTGTGCAAGTCATCCAACAAGGAAATCCATTTCACTACACACCATATTTGTTGATCTTTCTTGAAAAACTTGAGATAAGTAGCCTCGCTTTAATTTACATTTTGGAAATTGATTTTAGAAGATTTTAATTCTCAAGTATCTTTGAAAAAAAATATTATTACTCAGATATAATTATTAAATATGACTTTTAAAGTAATTATCAGGAATCTAAATAATAATTTTAAAAAATATTTTTATTTTTTAAAAACTAAATCAATAAAAAAAAAGTGTGAAATATGTCGCATAGTACTAGTGGAACATGACAGCTTTTACATTTGGCTATTCCAAGGCATTGGCATGCAAGGACTATAAATGAATAAGATAGAGAGATCAACATGTCAACCAAAATGTTCCTCTCTTAGTATAGTTGATACAATGAAACTTGTAATTGAGAATAACCATTCAAATATGGGAACCTGGATATATAAAGTATAAACTGACAACAATATATTCTAACATAACTCTGCACCCACTCACTAAATAGATTTATGTTAGAGATATTATTGAAAAAACAGTGAAGGGTTTAGAATAGACTCTTTAATTGACTCCATGATCAAGAAAGTCCTTCCAATTAGTTGTGTTTGCCTTAGTTAATGAATTAAAAACTAACACTCTTAATTTAGCTGCAGAATATTAATTGCTTGATGCCTTATTTCTCGATAATAAATAGTACATACTTTTATTCTGTGAGAGCTTGAGCCTTCAACCAACCCTTTTTGATAGTTTGTTCAACCATGACTTTCTGATGTGTGTGATGTATTACTACAAATGTACCCCCATTTAGGATAAGCATTTTTTTTATTACATGTTTTTGGTATAAATCGTGGTAAGAGAAAATGACTTCATTATAGTCAAAGTAGAAGTAGTAAGTTATGGTGACAACAGCAGAAAAAGTGAAACTCTGGACTATGATATGCTTTCCATAGTGAAGTCATGGACACTAGACGATTTCAATTTTTTGTTTTGGCATCAGAAGTCGTGTGTGTTGAGAATACGATTTGTAAGATGAAGTTGTGACCAATAGACGATTTTGAATTGTTAATTTTCATTTAAAAGTCATGGTGTGAAGAACACGGTTTTGGCATGGAAGCTGTTATCTATGGATATTGTTTTTTTCTTTTAAGTAAGGATCTATAAATGGTATTTTTTTTTTNGCCTTCATCATGTTCATGAGAAAAAGTGTCTTCATCTTCCTTCTTCACAACTCCATCTTCAGAATGCTTTTGCATTCTCAACTCTTTTTGTTTCTCTGTTGGACCTTTATATTCTTACTATCCCTCCATTAGTTCTTTCCTACCTATATATGAAGGTTAGTCATCAGCATAGTTCTCTGCATCCTATGTAGAAAAGGAGAAAAGCTTAAGTTGGTGAGGCTGATTTGGGATGAAAGAGATTCATTATGCAGGTGAATTCATGCTTAATTAACTGTTCACTCCTATATATTCTTCATGAGATACAGCATATCCATATCAGTGTGCATATACCATATCATTTCTAAAGAATTTTTATCATATATACACCTAAAATCATTCAATATACTTACAAAACCAGCATCATGTTTAATTTTTCACCTTATGAGGAGCCTACATGTTTCTTTTCTTGATCCTTCTGCAAAAAAGATCCAAATTTAGTAGTTTGGAGGAACTAAACAGACAGCAGGATAAAAACTAAGACATGAATTTACTTCTCTACAGATCAAGCAAATTTCGTTAAAACACACTGCAATTGGTTATGATTCATTCTAAAAGCATGGAAAGACTTTATCTATCTATCTATCTATATATTTGTATATCTCTATCATTTTATGTAGCTGAAGCTAACTGCAGGTTTAATTAGAAATAACATATCTTTTTCTTTTATTTGAGAAATCATATCCAACATTAGACAAACCTTTTAACAAAAAAAGTGTACTATATTTCCCCGTTATTTATGGCTTGGACCATTTTCTCAGTTTAGTATTCTTTTCAAATTTTACATGATTATGTGTTAGAGGAAGTACTCTCGCACTGAATTAAGTAAAATATGCAGAGATATAAAAAAGAAAACTGAAACCAGCTCAGTCATTATATTTATAAACTTGATATATGCCTGATATATTGTTGGAAGTTTTACGTTGATTAGAAATAAAACCAATACAGAGAATACAAGTGAGTGTAAACCTTATTTTATAAATCGATTTTATGGGTTGAATCAAACTTAAAGTACATTTTTTACATACATAGATAAACATATATTTGTTGAGCATGATAGAAGATCTGTTCTTAGATTGTTGTGTATTAAAAATCAGCTTCTTAAGCGGATCTGAACAGTTTAGCATTAAATATAGTTCCTGAGTCCAGGTCAGAGGATATATATAGTGTAGAAAGTCTTTAATTAATGTAATGTAATAATGGTATGCATGTAGATGGTGTGAAATAGAGGAGATGGTGGGTAAATAAATGAATGAGAAAGCAATATAGTAAGTGCATGAGCAAAAATAGAGTAGGAAAAAAGTGGAAGAAAGATGGTTAATTTGGTAGAGGAAAGGTGCACATGGAAATGCCGTATTAATAAATGTATATGTATGGTCTGATCGGAATGCATGATGGTTGACATGTAATGTTGGACAGGTGATGATATTGAATGGAAGTGCATGTGTTGAAGGGTTCATTGGTGGTTGGAGGGATTGTGATGAGATATATCATCTCATGTTGACAGAAGAGAGAGAGCACAACCCGAGAATGGTTAAAGGAGTGTTTGCCTTTGTTGGGAGTGTGCTCTCTCTTCCTCTGTCATCATCACATTCACATGCCTTTGCTTTCTAGCTAGCTAAACTGCAACAGTACATGCACCACTCTCTGTTATACCTTTCAAGGTATGTCAAGCTTTTCTTACCTCAGGTTGGATTGCTTATAAACATGTCCCTTTCAAACTGCTCACATATGCTATATGTCTAGCTCGTATACCACTGCATAAATTCAAATGCTCCTTCAAATCACTCTCATCTAAACATATCACCCTTTTTTCAAAACACTTTTGGAAATCAAAGTGGATACAACTAAGAAGATTATCATTATTGTTAGTCAAGATCTTCTACTGGTTTTTTCTTCGGATATTATAAATCCTTTTTAGGCTTAATTACCTTTTTTTTCTCCATTTTTATTGAAAAGTTGTAAATATATATAACTTTTATTTTTATTTTAATCAAGTTATAACTAAAATTTCATTTTACTAAATAATAATATCAGTTAAATTTTATTTTAATTTAAAAAATTATGGATGAACTGTATAAAAAGAACAAATAAAAATTTGTTACAAATAAATTTAAGATTTTGTTTTATTATACTTTCTCTTCTTTTGAATATTAAGCAATTATAAGATTCACCAAGAAATGGTTAAATTGAGAATTTAATTCCTTGCAATGAAAAATGACAATTTACATAAATTGTATATTTTAAGTGTTTGAATTAAATGTAGTTCTTTAAAGAAGTATTACAGGACACAACACAGATGGGTTGTAGCATTAATTTTCTTGAATCAGAGGCCTTTCAAAATTTTAAAAATTTAATTAATTATGTAAATAAAATGTTTAAAATGAAAAATTAAATCAAAATAATGCAAATTTAAAATATTTTAAAATTTGAAATCTCTCCTTTGAAATGCACACGCAGAAATTTAGCTTCATTTTCAATTACACTTCTAAAACATCGTCACCTTCTATTCTCCCACATCCATGAAATTCTCCAAATGCTTCATTGAAACCTAGTTCTTCTTCTGCTAAAATGCCCCAAATCCTCCATTGTAATTCCTTTAGAAACCTTGCATGCATTCACTTTGCAACCTCAGAGCCCAGTTTGGACAAATCTGAAGCATAAACATCGGTGTGCTCTGAAACCCCGGTGTGCCAATTTTGGTGGGACGTGTACGAGTGGAAAGGGAGAACAATGGATACCCTTTTCGTCTTCCTTCTTCCATGAAGAACACACTTTGTTGCTATTAATGGTATGAGAAACTAAATTTAATAACTCCCTTTTTACTCCCTGTCTTATGTACAAGTGTTTAATAATTTACTGTAAGTAATCTGAATGCTGTTTTAATTTTTTAAGAGTAGATAATCCTGATAATGGTGGGTTAATACTAAAGGGAATTTCTCTGAAATAGAGTCTGATACCATCTTATTAACTTGTTTAAATTTTACTCAATCTTATCTTGTAAGATAGATTTACACTCACTTCTATATTATTATAATTTGACTAGGATAACTTTGTTTAAGCAGCATGATTTTAGTGTTCATCAAACCATTCCATTGTTGATAAGAATGCAAATATTTGTTACAGTGATAACACTCCACTGATGGCTGCACTGGGATTAGGTAGAAAAGGGATAGATCAGAAAATGACCTCTTTTCTTTGTTTTGGTTGTGTTTTTTTGACATTTCTAGTTCTGTATATAGCACCCTTTTGATGAGCACGCTTATCCACCACCATAATTGGAAGGGCAACCAGTTACATACTCTGCATCCACCCTAAAACCAGTGTAAACTGATATACATAGGAAAGGTTGTTGCTTACGTGATATTAAAGATTTTACCATTATCACTCTATAAAGGTGAGTTTTGGTCCATTTGGGATGGATTTCATCCTCAAACGGATCTACTCATAAAGGTAACAATAAAATTCAGTAATGGAATCAATTAACATCATTTTGTGCAAGTCATCCAACAAGGAAATCCATTTCACTACACACCATATTTGTTGATCTTTCTTGAAAAACTTGAGATAAGTAGCCTCGCTTTAATTTACATTTTGGAAATTGATTTTAGAAGATTTTAATTCTCAAGTATCTTTGAAAAAAAATATTATTACTCAGATATAATTATTAAATATGACTTTTAAAGTAATTATCAGGAATCTAAATAATAATTTTAAAAAATATTTTTATTTTTTAAAAACTAAATCAATAAAAAAAAAGTGTGAAATATGTCGCATAGTACTAGTGGAACATGACAGCTTTTACATTTGGCTATTCCAAGGCATTGGCATGCAAGGACTATAAATGAATAAGATAGAGAGATCAACATGTCAACCAAAATGTTCCTCTCTTAGTATAGTTGATACAATGAAACTTGTAATTGAGAATAACCATTCAAATATGGGAACCTAGATATATAAAGTATAAACTGACAACAATATATTCTAACATAACTCTGCACCCACTCACTAAATAGATTTATGTTAGAGATATTATTGAAAAAACAGTGAAGGATTTAGAATAGACTCTTTAATTGACTCCATGATCAAGAAAGTCCTTCCAATTAGTTGTGTTTGCCTTAGTTAATGAATTAAAAACTAACACTCTTAATTTAGCTGCAGAATATTAATTGCTTGATGCCTTATTTCTCGATAATAAATAGTACATACTTTTATTCTGTGAGAGCTTGAGCCTTCAACCAACCCTTTTTGATAGTTTGTTCAACCATGACTTTCTGATGTGTGTGATGTATTACTACAAATGTACCCCCATTTAGGATAAGCATTTTTTTTATTACATGTTTTTGGTATAAATCGTGGTAAGAGAAAATGACTTCATTATAGTCAAAGTAGAAGTAGTAAGTTATGGTGACAACAGCAGAAAAAGTGAAACTCTGGACTATGATATGCTTTCCATAGTGAAGTCAAGGACACTAGACGATTTCAATTTTTTGTTTTGGCATCAGAAGTCGTGTGTGTTGAGAATACGATTTGTAAGATGAAGTTGTGACCAATAGACGATTTTGAATTGTTAATTTTCATTTAAAAGTCATGGTGTGAAGAACACGGTTTTGGCATGGAAGCTGTTATCTATGGATATTGTTTTTTTCTTTTAAGTAAGGATCTATAAATGGTATTTTTTTTTTTTTTCAAAAGACTACCAACAAAACTTACAAGACCAAAATGTGACAAAGGCTCTCATAGATAAATTATTTTCTACTTATTTGTAATAAAACAATTATTCTATAAATTTACATTATTATTATTATTCTATGAATTTAAATTGTTCTTTAGTTATACCATATACCTCCATTCATTACATCTTTTCCTTTTAATTCTTTTTAAAAAACAAAAACAAAGTACCTCGTATTCATAGATCACGATTTTCATGCTAAAAATGTGTCTCCAACACCATGACTTTCAATTGGAAATTAACAATTGAAAATCGTTCCAATTGATCACGACTTCATCTTACATTAGTATTCACAACACACTGACTTATGATGGAAAAAAAAATGTAAATCATTTTAGTATCTATGATTTCATTGAGGAAAGCTTAACTTTGAAACACAATTTCATTTTTTCCTGCGATTGTTGTCACCATAGTCCACAAATTCTGCTTTGACTATAATAATGTCGCTTCTTCATGCCACGACTTACATATGTAATAAAAAAAATTGTATATTTTGATATTTAAAAAAAAAAGTACACCAAATGGATACATTTGCCTAACATTAGGCTTTATATCGAAGTCCCTTATGAAAGGATCCGTTCTTGCATCTTGTAGCTGTTGAACTTGAATTAGGGTCTTTAATTGCTTGAGGCATAGGTTGTTGGCCATTCATCTCTTTTCTTGCATGGCTGAAGTTGAGGTTGAAGACCTATTTGACAGTGATGGATGGTAAGATAGAAAAGTCATGAACCAACTTATGTCAAACTCAATGTAGTTCAAACTTGTAAGAAAAAGAGTGTTGGACAAAGATGCACTTCATTTCTTTGCTCATTCAACTCACTTGTTTCTTAAACCTGACTAGAAGTGCCTTATGTGGAGAGATGAAGTTAATTAAGATTAGTATGCTCTGTTCACCCAATATTTAATTTCCATGATATATTTTTTATTTGAATTACCTTTAGAAGATACTGGATGGGATAAAAAAACATATACGTATATATAATATTATCTATAAAAAATAAAATATTAAGAAGTTTACTTTATTATTAATATTTATTTTACTTACATGTATTCAAAATGTTTGATTTTTAATCACTTCATATTGTTATATATATAT